TAATTATATGAGAGTTCTTTCAAAGTAGGAATCACGTTTTGGTTTGGTTTTGTTTTGGGGGGGAGGTTGGGTTTCTTTTTCTTTTTTTTTTTCTTTAATTTTGGCTTTGTATCCCTAGCACCTAGCACAGTTAGTAGCACAAAATAAGCATGGAATAAAGGGCTTATTGAGTTATTGGCTGATTTCATTGGTCTCTAGTTGTTTTCATGTACATATCTTATCTGCCCAACCAACTGAGAACTCCTTAAATGTACAAACTGGGAGGGTTTGGGGAAGGAGAAGGGCACACAATATGTGCTTAATAAACGCTAGTTAATTCGCAGTCTCCCAAATTCCATGAAAGCTTTTGCATATATGAAGTGAAATGATTTCATTCTGCCATAAGAGGGCACTAGTGCACCTAAGCAAACCTTTGTATAAATGAATACAAACCTACTGCACTTTGATTTCAAATGTAGAAATGTGCTCTTTAAATTTGCATAATTTTTAGTATGCTAATAATGTATGCACTGTGATCAGGCTATGAAAATACTTGCAAGCACTCTGTCCTACTTCTTTGTTAACTGACAATTTCCATACCATTTAAAAAATATTTATGTGAACAGCTGGCGTCCAAGTTATTTTTAACCATATCCTATGGTTCAAACTATGCTGTAATTTTTCACCAGATCTCGTTATTTGCCATATCCTGTATTAAACTATATATCATCTTAATTTATTATCCACAAAGAATAGAATGAACTAGAAACTAACATAAATGTGAAATAACTTGACTCATACCGTAGCATCTGAAATTCCATTTGAAATACTATGAATTAGCTGTAATAGCTTGTAATCAATGGTATTTGGGTGGTCTTGCAGAAGAGCAGAACATCTTTTTTTCCTTGTCCATGCCCATAAGAATCTAATTATCTCAGATTCTTCATGGAACTCAAAACCTCCTTGCTTCTCCTAGCACTTAAACCTTCTGTTTGACTCTATACCACATCTCTTTGTCAAACTCTATTATCTGCTATTGAGTCATATTTCAGATCTATCCCCTGCCTCCAGCCCCTTTGCTTAACCTTCCATCTTAGTTCACCATCCCTTGGCTTTGCATTACCCACTCATTCATTGCCTCTTGTCCCCTCCCTCCCCAGCCTCAGCTTTTCTCTGCTTTCTGGCTTAAGAAGTCTCAGCCTAAAGTATAAGAGACTGCTAGTCCTAAAGCCTATGGCAGGTTTTGCCCTCAATCCCCCTACAAGTGGAAGTGGAGGAGAACACTTCATTGGCCTGGAGTCAGAGCTCTTTATGGAGATCAGAAAAGCAGTTATTTAACCTTCATTTAAGATGCTAGAGGAAAATAGGTATAAAGGGATGGTAGTAGTAGTGATTTTGGTACAGAAATAAGGCCTAGCCAGTCACATTTCTTCCTGGCCCTGAATCTTTCTAGGATAGGAACCTGTCTTATGTTTAGAGAAAAGTCAATGGGTAGCAGCCTGGTGGCTAAGCATACAGCAAAGAAAGATTCTCTAACTGAAACAAATCTGCCACAGACTGCTTCCTATTTTTTGAAAGGGACAATCTGGCTATATATCTACCATTCAGTTTTATTTTGTCCACCATTACAACACAGGTATCCTTGCTACATCAAAAAGAAATTGAGGAAGATCCACAGGATGTTGGGTGGACCCCTTGTGTTGCACAAGATAGGCAAGCAAGAATAGGTTTCAATTGGTATCCTTGGAGAGAATACCCACATCTATGAGACCAAAGACCATTTGAGTAAAATTAAGAATTTCTTCATAATAAATGACATAAGAATGCCTGTATTGCCAGAGGTTGGGAGAAGGGAGTGGAGGAGAAGGTTGGAAGTATATATGTATATGTGGTAGGCATGAGGCAGGTCATCCAGTCTGTTACTGACTCCTAGAGTAAGTAGCAGTGTTTAGCTCAGTCCTGTTGTAATACAAACCAAAGGTTGAAATTATAATGACCAAGTTTGGCCCTGGAGAGAATTGAGAAAATGTATTTCCTTACCTTCGTTGGAGAGGTGGGGCACTATGGATATGTAATATTGCATGTACTGTCATATACAATGGATGTGTTAGTGTTTCTGAACTGCTTCCCCTTCCCCCCCTTAAAAATCTTTGTCATAAGGGATGGCTTACTGGGAAGGAAAGAAGGGATAGATATTTTCAGAAATTTATATATATATATAAAAACAAAAGGGTTATTTTTTGAAAGATTAAAATAACAATGAACCAGTTTGTTTTCATCCTTGTATTTTTATTTTTATATAAATTTTGTTGACATTTTTATTTTATATTACCTATGTTTCCCAATGTATCTCTCCCCTACCCCCCAAACAAATTTTGTTTTTGTTTTTTGCAAATCATTTTAAATAGGGGTTAAAAGAAACCCAATGCAATAAAACCAAAGTTCCAGATGTTGAAAAAATTCAACAGGACACAGGAGTGAATGAATTGCCTTGCTGTCAAAAGCATTGCCACAAATCCTATCAGGTTGAACTCAATCTTCTTCTCTCCCCTTCCCCCAATGTGCCCATTCTCCTGTCCATTCTTCTTTCTTCTTTCAGTCTGTCTTTCTCTGTTCCACACAGTCAGGCAGGTGGGTTCCTGGCAGTATCACCCTCCTACACTGCAATGCTTTGCCCAGGCTGCCTGCTGGGAGTGAAATTGACAAGTATAGTGTGCTCTTACTCAATTTCACTCACAGCAGGTAAAGTACTTCCGACCAGCAGAGCAGCACTACGGACTTCCCAGTTTCAAGCCCAGGGTGGCCTGCTTAAAAAAAAAAAATCTGTTCACAACACCTTTACTAGTTTCCGAGATCCATCAGAGGTCCACAGTCTATTTTGTGACATCCTCCTACCCTGGGCACAAATCATTAAAATGTCAAGCCCAGGATAGTCATTCAGTGCTCTGGAGGGGTAAGATATGTCCCAGATAGGGTCCTAAATGCAGCCAGATGGTCACTTCCCTATTACATAGGTTCAGGACTGATGAATACCAGGGAAATTTTCTCTGACTTCATTACCCATCTTCCTGCCAGAGATTTATTGTTGGTTTAGAAACTATAGTTATATACTTCCAGCCTCAATGACATTGTTGTTTTTTAACTGCCCCCAATTAACTCTCTCCACACACCCCATGTAAGGCAGATAGTAGCACTACTCTTTGCCCAGCATGTAATCATAAAACCAAACTGTCCCATGTACAGCACAAGGTAGGGAAACAGCTTTCAGAATCAGGGACCCAGGATTTGGTGCTGTCCTTTGTTTTCCAGGGGGAAATGGCCTTTTATCCAGTTTCTAAATGAAAGACTCATTTGTCTTTCTAGCTCAGTCTCCTGTTGGACCCCTAGCACCACAGATTTTATTCTACTTCTGCACTGAAAAGGAAGACTTTTTTTTTTACCTTTTCTGTGAGAAAAAGCAATTTTTTCATTCCCTTAAATCTTGGAAATCACCCAAGGAAAAGTTGATGCATCCCAAGGGTACTTTTTCAGCTCCAGATGTGGTTCTGGTGATCAACTCCTTGAGCTAGAAATGTCCAAGGGGTTGCCGATAATGAAATTACAGAGTGAAATGGGGGGAAAACGTTATTGTCATTTCTATTCTTTTCATAGCTGAGAAGAATTTAGGCAACTCTTTGATGACAGGGAGGAATGGAGAAAAGAGGGTATGACCATACCAGTCAGTTAAGGTATTTACAAGATATGGCTTCCAGAGCTACAAGATTCTGATCTACTGGTTTAGGAGGTCCTGTGTTGCTAATGTTCAGTCATTTCAGTTGTGTCCGACCTTTTGTGACCTCATTCGGGGTTTTCTTGGCAAAGAAACTGGAGTAGTTTGCCATTTCCCTCTCTAGTTTATTTTATAGATGAGGAAACTGAGGCAAACAGGATTAAGTGACTTGCCCATGGTCACACAGCTAGAAAGTCTCTGAGGCCAGATTTAAACTCAGGAATAATGAGTCTTCCTGACTCCAGGCCAGGCATTCTATCTAGTTGTCCCTAGGAAGCCCTGCAGTATAGCAAAAAGACTAGAAAAATTAATTGCATGATTATATCTAGGATCTCTTGAATAGATATGCTTGGGGGCAGGGGAGGTCATTAATTGATTTATTAAGCACTTATTTATTAAGTCTGCCCTTTGTTTCCACAACATAGCTGCCTCTAATTCAGGAGGAAAATGGCAAGCTGGCTTGATCCATAGCATCAGTCTATCAGATGGATTGAGCTAGCTCTACAATTTAAAAGTCTTCCAAACCCAGGTCCCACAAGGCATTTCCTGCTTTTTGATACTACTTTGCCCGTTTTGGGGGGGCGGAGCTGACTATAAACTTTGTGGCCAGAAACCTGTAGCTTGCCTCCAGCTATTCTGTGAAGACTTGTTTGCCCTTTTGCCTCTGGCCCTTTCATCCTCTGCCTTTACTAACCTAGCACCAATCTCTTCATTAACATGTTTCTGATGAGCCATCTTGCTCCAGATTCCAATCAGCCATCTGTTTTCAGATCCAGAATTTAGTGGATTGAGAAACTTCAGCCTTCTCACTTTATTCTCCACCCTTCCCATTCCCTTTCCTCTCTCCCAACACCCCATCTAAAGCCTGTGACCATCTTGGAATGGACCTTTTAACTCGTGCTGCTGGCTTCCCTTTGGGGCCCATTCATGTGGAATAGTAATGATGATGGTGATAACTACCTTTATATAGTGCCAGTCATTGCGCTAAGTGCTTTACAATTATTACCTTATTTGATTCTCACTACTACTCTGGGAAATAGGTGGTATTGTTATACCCATTATTCAGATAAAGAAACTGAATTAAACAGGGGTTAAGTGACTGGCCCAAGGTCACTCAGCTACATAGTGATTTGAACTCATGCATTCCTGACACTCTCTACTTCATCACCTAGCTCCTTAAAACAAGACACTTACCTCGCTAGAACATTTACTTTGGGTGGATTTTCCATATGCAGTGAAGGATTTTCACCCAGGCATCCTTTCATTCAATCTCTTTTATGCTTAACATGGATTTGATGTTTCAAATTGCTAAGGTGGAAAAGATACTTACTGTTTATTTGTGGAAATATGTACAAGTATTTTTAAAAAAGATAACTCTTGCAAAATTCTTCATATCTAGAATGTTAAACTGTTAAGAACATATGCTGTCATTAAATACTTTATCATAGTCAAGACAATTGTTAAAATTCAAAGAGGAAAACATCTGGGTTATAAGCACTGAGATCAGGAGCTGATTCCTCAGAAGATTCTGTTAATATCTGTAATGCTTAATATGCACGTACAGGTACACAATACATTCTGCTATTAAAGATAAAGAAACTCCAAATTAAATCACATGAATAAAAACAATTAAAGATTGAATTTGAAGAAAAAGAAAGATTTAATTTGAGCCAAGGAACCTAAAATTTCTTCTTTTTTTTTTAGTTATATGTATATGTTTATTTAATTTTCATGTCTTTTAAAGTTAGCTGCTTAAGAAAACATTTTAACAATATTTTTCCCAATTACATATAAAACAGTTTTTAACATTACGATTTTTTTCTTTTTTATTTATTTGTTTTTAGTTTTCAACATTCACTTCCACCAGATTTTGAGTTCCAAATTTTCTCCCCATCTCATTTCTCCCCCCACCTCAAGATGGCATGCATTCTGTATACCTCTTCCCCTAATCTGCACTCCCTTCTATCTCACCCTGCCCCTTCTCTTATCCCCATTTCCATTCTATTTTCCTGTAGGGTAGGATAGATTTCTATACCCTATTTCCTGTATTTCTTATTTCCCAGTTGCATGTGAAAACAATTTTTTTAACATGTGTTTTTAAAACTTTGGGTTCCAAATTTACTTTTTTCCCTCCCCACCCACCCTTATTGAAAAGGCAAGCAACTCGATACAGGTTATACATGGGTAGTCATGCAAAATACTTCCATAGTAGTCATGTTGTGAAAAACTAAGTATATTTCCCTTCATCCTATCCCACCCCCCATTTATTCTATTCTCTCTTTTGACCCTGTCCCTCCTCAGAAGTGTTTGCTTCTGATTACCCCCTCCTCCAATCTGTCCTCCCCTCTATCATCTCCATACTCTCTTGTCCTCTCCCCCCCATTTTCCTGTAGAGTAAGATAGATTTCCATATCCAATTGAGTATGTGCTATTGCCTCCTTAAGCCACAATCCTATGAGAATAAGATTCACTCATTCCCTCTTACCTTCCCCCATTTCCCCTCCATTGTAAAAGCCTTTCCTTGTCTGTTTTATGTGAGATAATCTACCCCATTCTACCTCTCCCTTTCTCCTTCTCCTGGTATAATCCTCTATCAATCTATCTATACATATAATTTTTTTCCTCTTCAACTACCCTAATACTGACAAAGGTCTCATGAGTTACAAATATCATCTTACCATGTAGTAATGTAAACAGTTCAGCCTTAATAAGTCCCTTATGATTTCTCTTTCCTGTTCACCTCCTCATGCTTCTCTTGAGTCTTGTATTTGAAAGTTGAATTTTCTATTCAGCTCTGGTCTTTTCATCAAGAATGCTTGAAAGTCCTTTATTTCACTGAATGTCCATTTTTCTCCCTGAAGGATTATACTCAGTTTTGCTGGGTAAGTGATTCTTGGCTGTAATCCTATGTCCTTTGCCCTCCGGAATATCATATTCCAAGCCCTCCGGTCTCTTAATAGAGAAGCTGCTAAATCTTGTGTTATCCTGATTGGTTTCCACAATACTTGAATTATTTCTTTCTGGCTGCTTGCAATATTTTCTCCTTGACCTGGGAACTCTAGAATTTGGTTACAATATTCCTAGGAATTTTCCTTTGGGGATCTCTTTAAGGAGGTGATTGGTGGATTCTTTCAATTTCTATTTTACCCTCTGGTTCTAGAATATCAGGGCAGTTTTTCTTGAAAGATGATATCTAGGCTCTTTTTTTGATCATGGATTTCAGATAGTCCAATAATTTTAAATTATCTCTCCTGGATCTATTTTCCAGGTCAGTTGTTTTTCCAATGAGATATTTCACATTGTTTTCTATTTTTTCATTCTTTTGGTTTTGTTTTACAGTGTCTTGATTTCTCATAAAATCACTAGTTTCCAATTGCTCCATTCTAATTTTTAAGGAAGCATTTTTTTTTGGCTAGGCAATGGGGTTAAGTGACTTGCCCAGGGTCACATAGCTAGTAAGTGTTATGTGTCTGAGGCTGGATTTGAATTCAGGTCCTCCTGAATCCAGGGCTGGTGCTCTATCCACTGCGCCACCTAGCTGCCCCCCCAAGAAGCGTTTTCTTCAGTGAGCTTTTGGATTTCCTTTTCTACCTAAAATTTCTTCTTGAAATACTCCAGGCACATCATTCAAAAAGACTGTAAAATTAGGACTGTTTCTCTAGTGAGTTAAAACAAATAGAGAGCAGTGCTATACCAACGAGTTTGAAAATAACCTGACTCTAATTTTGGTAAGACTGAGGCTTTAAAGGAAAATTTCTGAAACTTCAGAGAACTTTCCAATCCAATTCACATTTAGTAAGCACTTCCTATGTACAAAACACTGTGCTAGAAATAAGGAAGGGAAGAGAAGAAAGGACAGAAAGGAAGAAAGGATGGAAAGAAAGAAGCACTTATCAAGTACCTACTATGTACCAGGAATTGTGCTAAGCACACATAGAATGACAGTGTTACAAATCAATTCAATGTTAACTTTAAAAGGTGTTCTGTTCATTTATGTCTTCTTCTAAACTTCATTGGTTTGCTTCAATGACCCTCTTTTCTTTCCTTCTTTTTTGACACAATTAATGACCCCTTTCTCCATTGCACTCCTCCCTTCAAATTAAAAAAATCAAAATAAAAAGGAAAAATAAAATCCTTGTAACAAATATGTATGGATGGTTGAGCCAAACAAATCCAAATGTTTGCCATGTCTGAAAATGTATTTCTCCTGCTTGACACCATCACCTCTCTATCAGGATAGATGCTTTATCATTGGTTCTCTGGAATCATGGTTGTTCATTGCATTAATCCAAGTTCTTCAGTCTTTCAAAGTTGTTTTTCTCTACAATGTTGTTATTGAATAAATTATTCTACTAGTTCTACTCACTTAATTTGGCATCAGTTCATATGAGTCTTCCGAGGCTTCTCTGAAACCACTCCTTTCATCTCACAATGTAATAATGTTCCACAACACCTATATACCATTTGTCAGCCATTTCTCATCTGATGGGCATTCCCCTTAGTTTCAAGTTCTTTGCCAGTACCTAGCATCATGAAAACAATGAACATGAACTTGGACAGACTTCAAGAGATAGTGGAGGATAGAAGAACCTGGTGTACTATGGTATAAGGGGTCATGAAGAGTTAGACATAACTAAATGACTGAACAACTACATAAATATTTTAATACTTACAGGTCCTTTTTCTTTTTCTCTGATCTCTTCATGGCTATCCCTCCCTACTAGCATAAACTTCAAAGACCTTTCCCCTCTTCTCTTACTATGGGAAATTGTAAAATATTTTGAAGTCTTCAGATGAAAAGTGCTATATAAAGCTGCTGGCATTGTTATCACTTCTCATGACTTGAACTACAGTTAGCATCAAGCAAAAATAGATAAATCCCTGCTTATTTTCCATCTAAAAAAAGAGACAAAACATATGCCCATCAGTGGGTGGGTAATTCTCCATGCTGCTATATGCTTAAGACCCTATCTTCACCGCAAATAAATTGGTGCAGTGGAAAAAACCCTGGATTTGGTATCTGAGCATTTAGGCACCAATCCTGATTGCCACTTACTACTTGTTTGACCTTGGGGCAAATCACTTCATCTCTCTGGGCTTCAGTCTCCTCACTGGTACAATGAAGGGATTGAATTAAATGACCTTTCAGATGTCTTCTAGGTCCTATTCCATGATGTTGTGTCATTAAACATCTAACCACATTTCCTGTTGGCAGGGTGTTAATCCGGTTCCAACAGTAAGGCAAAACTAGGAAGTATTTTTGGTTTGTTTTAAAATGTTCACCCAAAGCACCAATATGGGTTTGGATTTTTTTTTCTTTATTGCTTTAAAAAAAAAAACTTCAATGGAGTTCCTAAAGAGGTATAACTGGTGTGAGAAGAGAGATTCTGCAAGTGGACTTCACCAGTCTTGGAAGTTACTTTGTGGGTAATCCAAAGTTTAATAGTCATCAAGTTCCAGACATTGACCTCCTAGAGCAGGTTCCCTACCCCTGTGAGAGACAGTTTAACAGCATGCTTCTTGAAAAAGGAAGAGGTATACACAAGCCCAACAGCTGGGAGATTGGAGCCATATCATGGTGGTGGGAGGTCTGAAGATCAGGCCTCTTCTTTTTCTTTTTTTTTTTTCAATTTCTGGAGCACTGAGATCGTGAGCTCACAAAGAAGAAACTCCTTTTACCCTTTAGTGTTGGAGAATTGCCTGAGGCTCTAAGAGGTTACATAAACTGAGATCTTCCAGATTTTGAGGCTGATTATCTATCCAATACACCTCCTTGCCTCTTAGGCATGAGATATAGCTAAGCTTTATTTTGGAGACTTCCCCAGAACAAAATTTGGGGTTGGGAGTAATGATCCAAATAAGGAAACTGACTCACTTTGGGACAGGCACTGTGGTTTCATTTGTGTGAATCCAGAATCTTTGTCTCCCACCCCCACCCCATGGTGGTAGTGGGGGATGGGGAAGTTACAAAAACTACAGCATCACCGTGGTCTCTTTCCCTTCCCTCTCCTCTCCCCACCATCCAATCAGTTGCCAGTTGCCAACATGTCCTGCATCCATCCCTTTCTCTCCACTGCTGTGGCTACCACTCTAGTTCACCTCTTCCCTTGCAACAAACTCCTCATTGAACTCCAAGACCCTATTTTTACCCCTTTCCACTCTCCACTAATTGCCAAAACAACCAATCTAAAGCATGGCTGACCATATCACCCTCCTGGTGAAGAAACATCAGTGACTCCTTATTGCCTCTAGGATAAAACATAAATCCCTTAGCTTTCTACTTGAAGCCTTTCACAATCCAATTCCAA